CTCACAGGAGTTTCTTGTGCCGTGTAGAGATGTTCTCACTCTTCATGGAGATACTCGCACTTGTACCCAAAGATCAGCTTCCCAGTCATCTCCGGTACGCACACGTATGCATGGTATCGGGGGCGTAGCTGATCCCTCTTTTAGGGGGTGCATGGCCGCGTACCGTTTTTTCCCCAATAAATGTACAGGACTTTTATTTTTTCAAAGGTGGTCTGACCTGTACTACTATAGGAGACTGTACTAGTATTGGAGACGTGTACTTTTACTGTTTCTGGAAAGATTGATTGTCTGGGTTGGGTGGCAAACAACTCGTGATAATGATGCTGTAAGGCTGTAAATACACCCAACCATGGTAAGAATCAGTGTACAAAGACACAAAAGATGATGAACGGGTAAGAAAAACGAAGTAAGGTAGACCCTGGTATCTGTACCCCAGTACTGCCCATCACATCATTCCGGCATGTACTATTATTAGAGACGTGTCCTTTTATATTTTCGATCCACACCCAACATGTACTACAATTGGGGACGTACTAGTAATGGAGACGTGTACGTTTAATGGGGAAAATACGGTGTGTGTAGGATGGCTGGTGCATGTCATTCATGGTCATTATGTGCATGCTGAACCTAGGTCGACATTTTTTAGGGGGGTCTGATTGCATCCTCTGTGTGTGTGTGTGTGTGTGTGTGTGTGTGTGTGTCTCATATGGTGCAGTGGTATGTGCAGTCGATTTCCAATCGAGAGGTTGCGGGTTCAATTCCCGACGATTATGGTTGCACACGTCTTTCTTCTCTTTCTCGGACTCTTCCTGACTTTTCTTTCATTCTCCTGGGTCGTTACCAACAGCCAGTGTATGCCGGAGTATGTGGTGTGGTGCGTGTGTGTAGAAAAAATGGAAAAATGAAAAATAGGGATTCACTGGCCAGAAAAAGTCACTTCAAACAGCTGTGTGGTGGATACCAGGCTAAAAATAGTGGCGGTCAATTCATCAGCCTTGCAAGCTGTTGAATGGTGTAATCCCAGCACAAGTTGCTATGTCTAACATAGCTGTTCGCTATCATCGCTTCCGCGATGGGCATGTCTGAGGTCTGAGGTGTGTGTGTGTGTGTGTGTGTGTGTGTGTGTGTGTGTGCGCGTGCGTGTACGCGTGCACACATGTGTGTGTTTCCGCGGTCGTCCCCACAGCAATCAGTCTCTGCAGACGTATCTCGACTTCAAGCTGGCATCGCTGTCATACCAGCAGCGCAAGCAAGAATTTCTCGAGCATGTCGGCTGCTGGGTGCAGGCCAGTTGTGATCTGCAGAAATTTTCCAATCCCACTGGAGACTCAGAAGTAGCGACAACTCGGCCGTTTGAAATAACTTGAACTGTCCACCTCTCCACACTGCACTCTTGGCCCACATTCGCCACACCATAGCGAGGAAATTCGTTCTTGGATAGATGTGTTCCATATCCTCCAGGCAGCTGTTTCGCTTACTGAGAGCTCCTCAGCGCTGGTAGATAACGAACGAATAGACTGGAGACAGTCTCATCATATCTGACTGTGATCAGACGAGAGAGAGGAAAGTCGCCCTGCTGCTGTGGTGCAACAGACCTTATCCCAGCCTGCAGCCAAAGCTCTGTGATGGGCGACGAGAGGGGAAGGCGGCTTGTATTCAAACTGCAGCTATCAATGAAGTTGAATGAAGTTGAATGAAGTTGAAGACACCACTGCAGCTGTACTTATGGTTGATAAATATGGTGGTAAAGACACACCTGGCAATATGGCGGTAAACACACGCCTGCCCACACACGCTCTCTAGGCTGCAAAGTTCTGGTTGCAGCCTAGAGAGCGTGTGTGGGCAGGCGTGTGTTTACCACCATGCAGCTATCAATGTATCATCACTGTATGTCCACAGAAGCACTAAGTGTATGCTTCAAGAAGCCACCTCACAAGTCATACTTGTAACTGTCATTCGAAGCAGGCTTCTGACAGTTATAAAATTGGGACTGGCTTATTTCCCCGGTGTCCTCAGTAGGTTCATCATGATACTGTACCGTTGACTGCTTGCTCTCCACTGCCTAGCTTTGTGCTGTAGCTGTTATTCTAATAGCTATTTATAGGGTGCGAATAGCCTACTTCATGTTTATTTGCCGGTAGGAGTTATAACGTATAGCGTTATCGCTTAATATTTTTTTTCAGTTGTATGTACAATCTAAGCAGAACACGGCATATCCTGATATTAAATAATAATAATAATAATTACCAGTTAATAATAATAATAATAATAATGCAGAAGAGAAAAGGACATATGGATACGAGTTAAGAGTAACTCTCCATCACTGTAACATGATACTTTATACAGTCAGAAAGTGCAATAACTAGGCACAAAACTGACAGAGTACTGAAACATTCGACGTCCTGACACCTAGCTTCAACTTTCTGACTGTATAAAGTATCATGTTACAGTGATGGAGAGTTACTCTTAACTCGTATCCATATGTCCTTTTCTCTTCTGCATTTATTTATGGCTCAACATCCGAGTTTCATATTGCAATAATAATAATAATTTTTTTATTTTTTTTTATTTTTTATAAGTGCAAGCCTCTTTTACGGGCAAAAATTAATATACTTTAACTCGGATACTAAGCCAATAAACCTGTTTTCGCACTTTCTGACTGCTTATTTTCTTTATTTCGCCACTAAGGTTAACAGGCATAGTGGTGGCCTGCGGATGCGAGGGCTAGTTTGTGTGTTTCTGAACATTCAAGCGATGCCGACGCGGATCCCGCGAATATTATTATTATTATTATTATTATTGTGGAAGAGAAAAGACATATGGATACGAGTTAAGAGTAACTCTCCATCACTGTAACATGATACTATATACAGTCAGAAAGTGCAATAACTAGGCACAAAACTGACAGAGTACTGAAACATTCAGTTAGGCTTATGAATACGTTGACAAACGGCCAGTGAGTCCAGTGATTCCGGTGAGTGTGAGAGCGAGAATGATCGTGTGAGTAAGAGTGGGTGCGAGCGTGTGTTTTCTAGTAGGAAGTCATCAGTGTATAAGCATCTTGTATCTCGTCCTGATTGCTGTAAGGTTTATTCTGATTCTTCTTTTTCTGTTTTGTGCCGTGCTCGTCATGGTTATAAGTTGCAGTTGAGTGTGTTAGAAGCCGTTTGTCAACGTATTCATAAGCCTAATCTGTGTGTCCAGAAGGACAGCATTATTCGTTTGAAATTGTTTTAGTAGCAACTTGTTCTGTCTGTTTGGCTCTGGTTGGCCATGTTGTCATATCTTGTGTCACAGTATACTAGTAGTCCTTACAAGTTCGTTAAGTGCTTTCGCAGTTTTTTCCTGTTAGGGAGCATCTCATAAGTTCGCACTTTTTTTGTAAACGTAACGCATTTCGAATAGACTTTACCCCCCTACCTCCCCCCCACTATTTGAAAGTCTTATCGCACATTTTCAGTGTAGATCTACTGTACATGTCCATGCCATGGTATGCACAATCATGTACAATGTTCATGTACATGGACATGGACGCTGTCCAAGTGAATGACATTCAGTAGTACCACATCTACTGAGTACAAGTAAGTTTTAGTTACAGTCTTAGTTCAATCAATGACATGTACACACACATAAACAGAGTTCCTCCACAACGACTGTACTATCAAAGCTGGCCAGGTGGCAGGTACACGGTTTGATCAGGCTGGTGTGACATTTGACACCTCTGAGTAGCCTGCATGCGTAGTGCAAGGGTTAGATCTAAATTAGCTAAAACACACCGGTACCCTGCTGTCTGAAGCGGTCTAGCACAAGCACAGCACTGTACACATCCAGAAAATGTGCGAACTGTCATTTTTCTATCCGAAATGGGCGCTACCCCCCTACCCCCGTTTCGAAATGCGTTACGTTTAGAAACAAAATGCGAACTTATGAGATGCTCCCTTATTACCTTAGTGCTAGGATTATCATTTTCATAGGTGTTGTTTCTTCTCACTCCATTTCTCTTTATTAGTATCTTTCTGGATTGTTTTTCATTAGTACAACGTAGCTTCCTGAGGAGTGTTGTGCGAAAACTAGTTCGAAGTACAATTTGTTGTTCATCATTTCTTCCATATCACATTTTTTCTTTCTTCCTTGTTCTTCACTGCCTTCGTATACACTCGTTTTTTAATACAATAAGGGGCCATCCGTAATTATCGATCTTTTTCACGAAACGAAAAAGTTTAGTTATGACCCACCCCCACCCACCCACCCCCCTGAAACGAAAAAATTAATTGACTTGAGATTTTGTGCAGAAAATGATCTTGATTGGCTGTTACATGTATACAACACATTGAGGCCACATTTTAATTTTGTGTGATTGTGCAAGTAAGTATTAAATTTTAGTTACAAGTATGTTTTCTTGGAAGTCTGGTATTATATTGTACTTCTTGACCATGGAAACATTTATTTTCACCTACCACAAAATGAGCACCTCTACGTACGTCTAAACACGGGAATTGTACACTTGCAAATCGTCAGAGTTCCGACATTGACATATTACTGCCAAAACAAGTCGACTTCGGAGCGGAAACAAACGCCATAGCTATCACAGACTTCAGTGGTCGTGCCTCGTTCGCAAATGAGAGCAGCATCGCCCCAGAATCGCTGTCGGAAAGCTCCGTAAGGTCGCACGCACGCCGCGCTGCGCTGCCGTCAATCAGGTACTTGCAGTACGTAGAAAGTCGATGGCCTAAATTTCCGTCTCTGGAAGACTGTCGACACGGGGATCACTCTCCATGGCTTCCCCACCATAAGCACGATCAGATTCTTCCAGGTACATTGCGACGACATCGTCTTCAGCGGCTGGCGCTCCCCATATTTGCGTGAGAGTTTACTTGGCGTGCGCCCCGCTCCGTAATTTGAAATTCTCTTGCATCGGCGGCTGGAACGAAATATTTATCTATCTGTCGTCGGTCCCAGAGTGAATGACCATGATGACTGCTTGGTCGATCGGTCCTCGTCGGAGAAGTCATCCGAGGACGGGGACGAAAGGAACTCACTGCACTGAGTACAGAGTGGTATCAGTGCATCCGCGTGACGTACTGTCGATCTACTTCAATGTAGATCTACATCCAGTGAGCGTTGATTTTTTCCGCTTTCGATGTTTTTTCAAAACGAAACCGGTCGCTACCCACCCACCCGGCCCATAAACGAAACTTTTTCGTTTCGTGAAAAAGATCGATAATTACGGATGGCCCCTAAAAGCCTTTGTGAAAATGTCGGTTCAGCTCGTTCTGTTGATCGCAATTCTAAAACTATTGTCGCCTCGACGCCTATTTACAAATTATTATTATTATTATTATTATTTAGGAATGGGTTTGCTCCCACACTGGAGCTCGCGCTATTCCGCCGACGACTTGACACTTGACTGACTCACGACTGCCATCCAGAGAACACGAGAAGTCCATCGAACTTTCGACTCGGCAAACCTGCAAGAAAGCACCACTCCCTGCGCGAGCTCCAGTGTGGGAGCAAACCCATTCCTAAACAAAATCATCGCCGAAGTCGCAACCTCTATTTCGTATTATTATTATTATTATTATTATTATTATTAGCAGTGTGACTTCACACAACCAGCCAAGGAGATACAATTACTTCTTTTTTAGCTGATCAAGCAACTACTTCCAACTACCAGAAAACGCGGATCATGCCAGAACAGCAGAGTGAAAAAGCAATGGCACGTATTCACTGAAGGCGCACGTGACTAGCGCTGCGGGGAAACAAGTAGGTTTTCTCATTTGCGTACATAGCAAATTCGCACTTTACTCTTGACTTGTTGAGCCGTCTCGAACGTTGTATTCCGCAAATCCCACTTCGTTGGGTCACTACTATTGTATACCTTGAAGACCAGTAGTCTATATCGAAAGAAACTCACAAGTTCCAGCGATTAGAGAAACTTCTTTTCCACGCATTTGTATACATTTGTATGCGGAATCGAACAAGTGTCCCCACAGCGTGGCTCACGTGCGCCCATACCATGTATGCAGCGTGGGCGTCCGCCATTTTAGATGAATACGTGCCATTGAGGGAGCACTGTACAGGCGATGGCTAAAATCCGTTCGTTTCCAAAACATATAATTATACTGCTTCTCAGGGAGTCGTAAAATACCGGTATTTTACGACTCCCTGAGAAGCAGTATATAAAATTAATGTTTGGCAGGGAGTCGTAAAATACCGGAAGCAGTATATAAATGTTTCGCAGGGAGTCGTAAAATACCGGTATTTTACGACTCCCTGCTGCTCCTGTGATCAGACTGCACACAGGACCGCCGGAAGCAGTCTTTGATTGGTCGACGGTAGTACAGTAAAACCTGTCAAGGCGACCACCTGTGCTAGAAGACCACAAAAAAACCAAGACCAAGGGATGCTATTTCCAGTCAACTGACCCTGGATAAGAAGACCACCTGGTAACAGCGACCACCTTGTGAAGGCCCCATGAGCGGTCGTCTTAGACAGGTTTCACTCTACTGTGGTGGTCTTTTGGTTATCGAATCGTTGGATGCATATGCCCTCCACAGCACTGAACACAATCATGTCGGTGGCCGAAAAGTTGGTCTGGTAATAACCGGACGGGTTCCGGCGGGCCTGCCACAATCCGGCCTTCAGCAACGTCCCGGTTTGTACCACGGCTGCCAGTTTTATGCCTGGTCTCACCATACCATGATGCTAGTAGTACTGTAGAATGCGTAATTATTTTAGCGTTTTCCCATTG